TTTAACTGCTGGCTTTTTTTTGTCCCACTGAGTGGCATGTGCAAGCAGGGGTGCTTGTACCAGGGGACCCTTCTTTTTACACCCACACTCCTCACAGAATTTAGCTTCACCTCAACATAAATGTTAAGGGTTGCTAAACTATCAATCTGCCCAGGATGTCCATAGCTCTGGGTCTGGCCTTAAGTGTGGCATTCTTCTGTAACAAGGATGAGTACAGTCGAGGATCCTTGTTCACTTAGAAATGGTTTTGCATATGCAGAGCACAGATTTTGATGGAGATTCCATCTTGGCTCTGCCTCTTGCTAGCTGTGTGGAGACCTAGCTAAATCTTATCTCCCTCAGCTATCAAATAGGGGAACATCGACTCTGCATCCAAGGTGGCTAAACTATGAGGTTGAGAGTGAACCATGGGATGGAGAATCTTTCTGCTTCGGAATTTGGTTTCTAAATCTAGAGGTATGCTGGAACCATCTCTAAACTTGCCCGTTCCCTCCGGTTCCATGTGAGTCACTTACAGACACTAGCGTACTGCTGGTTGCTGTAGAGCGGGGAGCTGTAGGCCCGATGAAAACCAGGGGGCTGTAGGGGAGGATGGAAAGCATCAGAAAGAGCAAGGCAGGACCCAGAACCCCATCTCTCTCATGACTGCTCACCCCTTTTTGAAGTAAGAGATGGGCTGAGAAAGAAAAAGCAGGGATATGGAGGGGGTGACCTGGAGAGACTGGCAGGGGTGTAGCTGGCAACATGTCCCTCTCTATTTCCTTGCTCCCAAAGCCTACTCACAATCTTGCCGAAGCATCTCTGCATCTCCACGTAGGACTGACAGTGTTCGTGGATGTTGGTTTTGCAGTTCTTACAGCGAAGCCCAAATTTGTTGTTGACTTGGGAGAGGGGAGAACATTTGGGTGAGGTTCCTGCTTCCCTTTCCCTTTGTACCACTGCTGCTACTATAGCGCTTAGGTTCCTTTTCTGTACGGAACCCCACACCCTCAGTCTCTAACAGTTATTTCCTTAAAGCCAAATCTTGCCACAGCCTGTCTGCTCCACCCTAAACCCTTTCCCAGTCCCCTGCCTTCAACATCACATGCTTTCTCCTTCCCTTCATGACTCACGCACAATCATCCGGGCACAGACATCACAGAACTTGGGCTTCTTGAAGAAATGATCTTTGAATTTGTGGGGCTTATCATTGACAAGCTTAGGAGGTTCTGGGGGTGGCTCCTCCTCTTCCTCCTCTTCTTCCTCCTCTTCCTCATAGATGTAGTAGATGGGCCCACCCCCAGCTCCCACTGCCTCCCCATTAGCCTGGGGCTCTGGGGGAAGCTCCATCTCCTTTGTCCCAGCAGACTCCTTCCTGAATAACTGCTTCAGCCGCTGTAGCTGAGGGGAAGGGAGGAGGGAATGAAGGAAACCCAATGTTAAAAGAATTGTCATGCTCTCTAGACTAGGTAAAGCTGAAGCTCACTAGACATTTATCTAGCTTGGGGCAAGAGCACACCCCAGGATTAGGGGGTATTAGGGCTGCAGATGCTGGCAGGCATTTTAACAATAGAGGAGTCGCATTCAAGTGAGATCAATTCAAGCAACTTTCTTCAAGTGCTGCAATGGCTTCCCAGGTTCCCCACACCCAGTGGTCAGAGGCCCTGACTCACCCCACTTTGCCGAGTCTCTGCTGGGGAGGGCTTAGGGGACTCCAGCACCTTCTTTTCTGTCATCCTGCAAGAGGTTGGACCCCACTATGACATCTAATCCCTGACTGCCATTCTCCCTCCCTTGTTTCTGTCCCTTTATAGTAGGGTGGTCCTTGAAGGGGAGGCTTTGGGAGAAATTTGGTTAGAGATCTTTTCACAGAGCTTATGAATAGGAAGATTCCATGGAGGTCCAGAGAAAAGCCCAACAGACTGAGGAACTTCCCAACTAGTTCCTCAAACCAAAACCCATCCGTCCATTCTGAGGTGCAACCCCCAAATTTGTAGCCCCAATACAGTCAGTACTCAAGACTGCCTGGTTTAGGTATTTGTTCTCCTGGGAATCTATGGGCAGTAGAGATATGACACACATCTTCCCAGATCTCCTTTTATCAGAAGGTTGATGTGTGCAGGGATGGGCTGGGCCATTTGTTCTCCCTACTTCTTTCTTGAGCCCTGGGGGCCTAGTGCCTAGTTCCCAGCTTGCCTCAGGCCTCAGCTATTTTAAGTTTTCAGAGTAATATGAGCCTTTCTTTCCCTTACTACTCCCTTCCCTTGACCTCACTCCAATCCTAGCTCTTTATCCTGAAGTAGAATAATTTCACTCCTAAAACCTAAACTACTCCTAGACAAGAGAAATGAAGAAGCTGAATAGACTATGGATTGGGGAGGTTGGGGAGAGCAGTCCTGGAAATGGAAAGAGGATGAAGAGGCAACTCACGTTTGGGACTCTCTGTCAGTTCAGTCTGTGGAGGGAAGAGGAGCCCCTGCGGCCTTGACGGTAGCACTGGAGGAAGACTGGTCCTCTTCCTTGGGGGCTAAGCCCCCCCAGTATCCTCTGAACTCACACCAGCCACCCAGACGGTATTTGTAGACCTAGCGTCTTGCCTTGGTGTCAGAGCTGGAATGACAGGGCTGGAGTGAAGTGGACAGCTGAGTGACACAGCTGACATAGAGAAATTGGATACGGGGAGGCCTGGACCCTAACTCCTCCCACCTCCCAGAGCTGCTGTTCCCTAGTTTCTCATCTGTGGTGTGCAGGTCAGTACTGGGTAAATTCAGGAGGGGACAGTGTTCATGCTGTATACTCACTTGGGTGATTCTAGATGACTGCAGGTAAAGATTGATTATGAACAGCTTTTTAATCCCCTTTCTCCGAGGTCCAAACATCTCCCCAATTCTACCCTCCCTGGACCTGCTTTAGGAATTAGGCCTTCTACTTCCCAGCCATTCTTTATGTTGCCATGTGTCTTTATACCATCAAGTATAGATTTAAACTCAAACCTTTAGAACGGAAAATTTGCATTTTCAGAGGTGTCCTATCGGCCAGACTAGATTGCTTTCTTCTCTGTGGGAAGTTGGAGGGGTACCTTCCTGCCATCTTGTCAGGGAGTGAAGAACATGTGTATAGCTCTGTTCTCTCCAGCTGTCTCCAGAGGCATCTTCCCCCCTATTCCTCTAAAATCTTGTCCTCAGGGTGAAGGGACTTCTATTTTAAAAAGCCAGGCTGGGGGACTCTGGGGGAGTGAGGGTCTAATGATCAGGTACAGATGGCCTCAACAATGGACAGAAGGCAGTAATAGCTGCCACCCAGGGGTTTTTTATCACCTGCAAGTAATATCCCCAGAGAACTGCAAACTCTTGGAGGTGGTAGGATGCCAGGCCTCCCACTCTGAGTCATTTTGATTCCGATTCCATCTCCCTTCTCGGATGCCCCAGGGTATGAACTGATGGGTCAGTGAGTTATCAGGCATTCTTATCTCAGGCACGCAGCCTTCTCCTGCCCTGTGTGACACAGCTGAAAAAGGAGATACCGCCATCTCAGAGGAGAGCAATTTGAAGGTGACAGTATAGTGCCATTTTATCCCTTGTATCTGCACAAGTAAAGGGTTATGTTGAAGGTTGGGTTAGACAAGCTTTGGAGGAGCCTAGCTAGAGACACTGCTACCCAGACCCAAGAGATTTCCAGGGCAATGTTTTTCGTCATTTCCATTTTTTTCCTCCTTTAATGGGTGGGTGAGATTGAAAAGCGGCTGCTGGATGTTCTGGGTCTATGGGCTCTTTAATGACTCTGGTCTGACAGGCTGAACAACAGACTAGCTCTGAGAAGCCTCAGAGGAAAAGCTCCACCTTGCAGGCAGGTGACTTCGGCTCTTCACCTTTCTTCAGCTGCATAGCAGGGATGGCTGAGCACACCTGGTGTCTTGGTACTGCAAGTTTAACTGATGTAACTTTTATTGTAAGAAACATCTACTTCTGTTCCTGCCAGGAAGAACCCAATCGACTGGGTTTAGGATTAAAGAAAGGCCCAAGCCTTCCATCCCTGAAGTTTTCAGCAGATTGGATGGACAGTAAGAGGCCAGCATTCAACCCAGTTCTGGACCCCACTTACCCCTCTGCAGCTCAGCCTCAGGGAACCTAAATGAGCGTCACAGAATTAACAGAGTGGAAGGAACCTCGGAGGCCACCAGCCAGTCAAGTCTGTCAGGCTCCAGATAAGGACTCAGCTGCAGAGCTGAGAAGTGCTATCCCTGATGAACCACAGGTAGTGGCAGAGTTGGGAGAGCTCAGAACCAAGGTCCCAGTAGAGACTCAGCCACTTATCAGAATTATGTGTGAGGAGGAGGCTGGGACACAGGGAACAGTGTTAAGAATATATGTGTTCATATGCTAGAAAGGCCACCCAAACCCACATCAAATCACTCCCACTCTGTGCGGCTGTACCTACCCAGGACCTCCAACCGCTACCCACACCAGGGCAACAAAAGAGAAACAGGGACTGACGTCCAATTGACAGATTTTTTTTTATATTTAAAAACAAAATCAACCTTCCCCCAAGTAACCCCCCAAACAAACAAAAAATCAGATTAAATAAAATTTACAGTGAATATACCTAGCAAACATCTGTATGTGCAATTAAATACTGTGTCTGTTACTGCGGCACAAACCTCAAACAAACAATATACAAGTGTTCTGGGGGGGTAGGGGGAGGCCCAAGTTTTAACTTTGTAGGGCTTGGGGTGACAGGATGGGGAAAGTGAGAAGAAAGGGAAATCAATTTCATTTTTCTTAATTCTTTCCATATAAATATATTCATAAAGACCAAAAATGAAAAGGGAGCTTGGGATGGTAAGGAAATTAGGAGAAGAGGGGAGTGTAGAACCCTCCCAATTCTACCTGACCAAAAAATATGAAAGAAATTCATTTCATGGTGGGAAAAGAGATAAAAAATGATAGAAGAGGTTGGGAAAGGAGGGGGTAGCAGAGGGAGGCCAAGAGGAAAGGAGG